GGACTCACACACTGTAGAAAAGGCCCCAAAGTTGGGACATATTATGTTTAGTTTGTGATGTTTTATAGATGTAGTGTTGGTCAGCTCATATAGCCCCCCCTGCTGGTTATGTAGTGTAAACTGATGGCGCTCGGTCAGAGAGGTGTGTGTGGATTAACAGTTAATTAACGTCACGGCAAGTAGTCTGTGCGTGGATGAAAAGTGAATATGTCCGGATATATTGTTGATGTACTGTATTTACGTTGCTGCAGCTATAGATTATTTCCTTATTTCTGTTGTTCTGATGGGTAGCTTTCACACTTACCATGTGATCACTGTTTAAGCTAGTTGTCTCTGATCGAGTGTACGTCACACGTCACGTGTTGTTATTGTTATTGCTCCGACTCGCTAGTGTAATGTTTACAGTGAGCGTTACGTAAATATTACCATGTGATGTTGTTTATATGTGTGTTAATATGCTAGTAAGTCAGGGAAGTGTGTTTCAGGACTGTGATAGTGGTAATTAGAGGCAAAAGGAGATGTAGTAATTTCAGTACTCCTTTATCATGTTTATTAGTGATTAAGAGCTTTATCCTTTATTTATTTGTGTATTTGTTATTGTTCATTTGATATAGAAAACCACATGACCTCATTGAAAGAGAGTATTAAACACCTGCACTATCCATTACCTGCCTCTTCATTTGGACCCTCTGAAAGTGAATTGGCCTTAAGTTGGTGTTCTGGCCGGCACCCGAGTGTGAACTCAGTGATAGCCCCAGAACTAACGCCAGATACAGTATACTGCCAGTGTCTTCACTACACACACTGTCAAACTACAGTGGTATGTGATAATACGGTCCTGACAGGACTGAGATGTAAAGCTTTAGAAATGAAACTCCTGACACTGCATTGGAAATGAAATGTTATCAAGGTAACCAAGGTAACACTAAAATAGAAAGGATTATACCTTTCAGATATAATAATCTATATATATCTGAATGAAGTAGTGAAGCAGTAAAGATACAGCACAAAATAAGGAAATGTTATACATAAAGTCATGTACATGTGTGTAACATTTCATAAAATTGTATCCAAATTATTGTTACATAGGTAAGTGCTGTAGATACAGGTCATAGGTCTGTACTCTCTATTTGTTTCATATAATACTAACAATCATGATATTAATAACTTAATTTTATTATCAGCAGGCTGAGGGCAGCAGACGCCAACAAGATCAGCAGGATCACCAGGAAGGCTGGCTCCATCCTGGGGCTCCAACTGGACTCTTTGGTGGTGGTGTCTGAGAGGAGGATGCTGTGTAAACTGCACAGTATCCTGGACAACAACAATCACCCTCTCCACCAGGTGCTAACCTCGAGCAGAAGCACCTTCAGCAACAGACTCATTCCCCCCCGGTTAAACACAGATGGCCAGAGGAAGTCTTTTCTTCCTGTGGCCATCAGACTGTATAACTCATCTACCTCCGGTCGTGAGAGGGACAGTGGAGACACTGTGCCCTGAACAATGTCACTTTGTCACTTTATCATTTTTACCCATCATATCACTTCGTCACTTTATCTTGTGTGTACTATGCTGATACAATTGTATCACTTTATCACTGTTTATCACTTTAAACAACCCCTCACTATATTTAGTTGTACTTATTTTATTTAAATGTATGCGGCTAACTGCACAGTGCGTATTGTTTTATATCATATATACCTACATTAACTGTCATTTTTGCATTTAGTTACTTGTTTTATTTTCTTACTCTTGTATTATTTCTATTCAACTATTGCCATTACCAATACTGTTGCTGCTGTGCACCTGTCTGTCTCTCTCTCTCTCTCTCTGTGTCTCTCTCTCTCTGTGTGTCTCTCTCTGTGTGTCTCTCTCTCTCTCTCTCTCTCTCTCTCTCTCTCTCTCTCTCACCCCAACTGGTCGAGACAGACGACCACCCACCTAGAGCCGAAGGATCTGTCCCTGGGTTTCTGCCTTTTAACAGGCAGTTTTTCCTTGCCCTTGTCTCCAAGGTCTTGCTCATGGTGGTACTGTTGGGTCTCTGTAATTAATGTTATAAAGAGTTCGGTCTAGACCTGCTCTATTTGAAAAGTGTCCTGAGATAACTTCTGTTATGAATTGGCGCTATACAAATAAAATTGAATTGAAATTGAATTGAACTGTTGCACAGCAATTTCCCTTGGGAAAATAACGCTTCTTGAATCTTAAATCTTGAATCTTCATTTAATTTATTTTAGTTTAAGGGGGTTCAATCATTTATCACTAAACATCTGTCAGAGACAGGTCATAAAGATTTGATCGAGTACATTTGACAAGAATACTAAGTTACAGAGGACAGGGCAGATACAGGACAGAGGCCATGTTTAACAATTAGGACCTCTCTCATTTTTATTATCTTGCTTCTTCTCTCAGGTCTTGCAGGTTGATCAGTAATTTAGTGGTTTGAGTTCATGACTCAAGATGTTGCATTCTGTGCTTGGTCAAAGGTTTGCATCCCGACCATGGAAAACTTTCTGAGCTAGTTTGACATTAGGTCTACGAAATGTTCCAGATCTTTTATAAATTAGTAATTGTATTCAGCTGTTATGCACACTAAAACATATTTTAAACCCATCTTCAATCTCGATTGTTTTGCTGAAAATGTGTGTAATTATGGTAGCAGCTCTATCATAATTATTATTATTATTGTTATTTATCTTATTATTATAATTATTATTACCATATTATTATGTGTAAAGTGTTGCTGTTTCAGACCTTTATACAACTGAATTTTGCTAAGCTTTCCGTTGAAATTAAACAACAGTACAGTATTAGTCTGGGTATAATATTTTACACTGAGCTTCCCTTTCATCATCAGCTGACTAAAGTTGTACAATGATGAAATAATGTTTCCTTTTCCTTTTCTTTGAATGTGATAGAAGCAAAACATCTTCCTATAAAAAATTCAAGTTTGTAGGTGATCTATTTTTGTTAAATACCCATGATGTAATTTTTCCACAAATGTGACTCTAATGTAATAATGCTTGTGTAAAGTATTTAATAAGTAATGAATATGGTTGTCATGTGTAAATGAACAGTAGCATATCGTCGGAATGTAACTCAGTCAGGACCTTCACGTGCTGTAAAGTGTCAATCAGTGTGACCTTATCAGCTACTTGTTACCTGATGGAAATGATGGCATTTAGTGAATAACAGCAGCACAGCAGTGACAAACACACTATTTGTCAGAGTTGTGAGAGGAAGGAGGGAGGGATTAAGGGAGGAGCAAAACTGAGACTCAAGTACAGAAAAGACAGAAACTTTCACAGTGGTGTTTCATCCAAAAAACAGACAGATTGTCTTTATCTTTAAGATGCTGTCAGTGAACTTCAGTCTGTTTGTGACTTTGTTTCTGCTCACAATAAGAGGTAGGTGAGATCATTAACATTAAAAGAGCTTCATTGATAAAAACCTTTAGATCATAAAGTTACAGAGTTATCTCTTCCTTTAGGTGTCAGCTGTGAAGAACTCACTGCAGTCAAGAAACAAGAGTCCAGTTTAGAAGACAGCACTGTTACTCTGTCCTACACATACTCCACGACTATAACGGGTGGTGACGATTTCTTCTGGTATCAACAAAAAATTGGAAAAGCGCCAGAGTTTCTTCTGTACATCTCAGGACTCAACTTTACAAGAGCAGCGGAGTCTCAAAAATTCTCTTCTAAACTGTCTGGAGAAAAACATCTGGATCTGCAGATCTCCTCTGCTGCAGTGACAGACTCTGCTCTGTACTACTGTGCTGTGAGGCCCACAGTGACAGCAAACCCACAGTCTCTGTACAAAAACACAAGCTGACACACTGACAAGCTGCTGGAAGCCTTTTTTCCACACTGTTGGACTCAACTTTTAGCTCCACTAGAGGGCGACATTATCAAGTAGGCGGTGCACTACTTCTGCACTGTGTTCAACCATTCTGTCAATAATAACTGCTGCTGTGAAGAGAACAATTGTCACACTGAATGTTGAACATCAGCTAGTTTCTCCTGTTGATTTAAACCTTGTTGTAGAGATGGAACATTGGCTGTGGATTATTCTTGCTGCTCTTTTCTTTGGTAAGATAGAAAGCACAACATGTTTTTATTCTTTTCTAAAGATTGATGGAAACTGGAGTTCAGAGCAGAAATCTCTCAACAGTTGAGCTGTTTCTGTCCACAGAGTAACACTGTACACTTGATATTTTCCACTGTCTTCTCCTCTCAGCCTCATGAACAATGTTAGTCTAATGGCTTCATTTTCTCCACTTTTTCCAGGACTAATAGCTGGAGACACAATCTCTCCTGTAGGAGATAAAGTCAGTGGAAGAGAAGGAGAATCTGTCACACTCAGATGTCGATATGAGACAACTGACAGCAATATTGTCCTTCACTGGTACAGACATTCTGACCTTCAGGCTCCTCAGTTTATACTCTGGAAAGGAGCAAGATCCAGGAGTGGTAGGAAATACATTCCAGATGAACGATATGAATCTGAAACAACAGATTCATCAACTGAACTGACCATCAGAAAACTAACCCTGGCAGACACAGCTCTCTACTACTGTGCTCTAGAAACACAGTGATACAAAGTGTAGAAGAGGCTGTACAAAAACCTGAACACAGATATCTGACTACTCTTCAAAGAGGAGGGAAGTGGTATTCAAACCACAGCTTCATATCAGATGGATTCTGCTAATTCCTGTTTTATCAGAGTCACTGTGGTTACAGCTGCTAATGAAACACTGTGGGAGGATTCACATGAGCAGCAAATCCACATCAATGACAAACCAACTGGATGATGCTTCAAACACAAGACACCATGGAAACAAATAAATCAACACTGAAAATTAAAATGAGTGATATGTGACATCTGAACAACAACGTGTCTAACATTAAAACTTTTAGCTAAATAAATAGATTTGTGACTTCATTATGTATCTAAAGTGCATTTATCATACATTGTTTTATTCCTATAACATTTCTATTTGTTTCCCAACATTTACCAGGTCAGACTGGGTCCAGTATTTTATAGCTCAAATATTCAGTCATATACTGAGCATACTGAGCTGATCTGTTACCAGCTGGACTGGGTACAGTCTGAATATTTCTCAGCAGAAGTCCACCTTTACAGTTTCTGGTCTTTAACATTTTTATTCAGTTTTGTTTTCCATCTGATTGAACTGCAGTAAATGATGGACTGTTTGTTGATTTGTAATCATATAAGACAGGGCTGTGAATGAGGCCTGTCAGTGTGATCAGGCTCCTCCTTCTAATCCACCAACTTAGTGTTGATGAAGACTAAACAGAGAGATCACAGCCTTCTTTCTACTTGCTGTAGCTCACAGTTACTCAACACTGCAGATATGACGCAGCCTCTGTTCATCTCAGTGTTGCTGGCTGCTCTGTGCCTTGGTATGAACACAACTCTGTTTCTGTGATATCAATCCAACATTGACATGATTCTTTAACAGCACACTGATCCTGTTTGTTGCTGTTTTACAGAATGCAGAGCACAAAGAGACAACGTGCTGCAACCAAAAGGAGATGTGACTGCGACTGAAGGAGAGGAAGTAACACTTGACTGTCAATATAACAGCAGTTCATCAAATGATTATCTCTTCTGGTACAAACAGGATGGAAACAACAGCCCCAAATTCATACTGAGCCGCTTCAAGGTTGACACAGGGAAAACTGAGGACACGTTTAAGGAGGAATTTTCATCCACACTTGATTCAACCATGGGCCAGTGCTGTAGATGCAGGTCAGACGTCTGTACCGTAGTTATTGCAGGAACTGTTTGTTATGTTGGCAAGATGAAAACATTTTCATTTAAGAAATATAGAGATCTTATTCCCCAACCGCCGGTTGCCAAGCCCCAAAAGGAAAAAAAAAACACAGAAAAGTAAACCCCCCCCCTTGCTAATATAGACACCTGACTATGAGAAAGGGGGCTTAAACCTTTGCCACTGCTCCTCTCCCATTTAAGAGATTTAAAAAGGTTTATGATTGTATGATTGTTTGGACATGTGTTCTTCTTTTTGAAGAAGGGTTTAAATAATATAAGGCTCCCTTGCTTAAATCTTAAAAAGAGAAATAAAGTCCCATTATAGGCACGTATACCTTCCTAGGCAGCGTTAATCAGATGGGAAAAAAATCTAGGTAAATGATTTAGTCTATGCCCTCTATGCAGTCCAGTTCAGTTTTAAGGAGCCTGGTAATAAAAGAGGAATAATTAAAAATTATACCATTTAATATGTTAATCTCCGGTGGTGCATTCAGGCCCAATTCTGTGTGCCTTTACATTTTTGATTCTGGTCGGTTAATGATGCAGATGTTGTCTCTTCTATTTCAATCCTCTTGGAGTGCCAAGGTTTCCTCCAAAGACTCTGTGATACCTGTGCTGGAACGCTTTTTCCTTTTTTTCCAACTTGAGTAGAAAGTTCTTATAGGGCGGCTGTGTCTCAGAGGCAGAGTCGTCCACTAATAGGAAGGTTGTTGGTTCGATCCACGGCTCCTTGCGCAACATGTTGGAGTATCCTTGAGCAAAATACTGAACCCCAAATTGCTCCTGATGCTGTGCATCAGTGTGTGAATGTGTATGAATGTGTTAGTTTCAAAGTAGTACATAGCCATCTTGTCTACAGGTCACATGGTGATGCTCATTTTCCCCCTAAAAATGTGAAAACTGGCTTAAATACAATGTTGCTAATGGCATATAGTCTGGATATTACACTGATATGGACCAAATCCATAGTCCTCGTTGTGTACAGAAACATATTCCAAGGAATTTTATATCTAAAATACTTTAAGAGTGAAAGACACCCACTGGATCTTACTGACTAGAACTGCTGCATCCTCATATCAACTTCAGCTATGTCATTAGTCTTGTTGGTATTTGGTCATAAACCAAAGTATGGGACTAATTAAACACTGATTAAAGGTCAGAGGATCACCAAAGTTCTTACAATTCATCCTGAGGGGAACATGAATGAACCAAATATAATGACAACCATGAATATCTGGATAAAAGCTCATGACAATCCATTCAGCAGTTTCTGAGATATTTCACTGCTGAATATAAATGAGATGTAAATGTTGAGAGTTCCTCAACAGATGATAAAGAGGAAGGACCAATGATGTGAAGGCCCAGATCCATCAGAGTATCAATGTTCTTCCTCTCTCTCCTCCCCCTCTCACTGCAGACATGAAACACTGGCTGAGAAACATCCTGATTCTGACTCTCTGGCTAGGTAACTCTTTAAACCTACTGATTGTTCTCCTTTAATCAGTCATCTTTATTGATTCATCTCTTCCTCTGCATGTTCTCTTCTTCCCCAGAGTGTAAAGGAGAAGACAGAGTGACCCAGCCACCAGGAGATGTCATTGCTACTGAAGGAGAGACAGTTACACTTGGATGTACATTTAAAACCAGTGACACACAGTACTACTTGTTCTGGTACAAACAGGAAGTCAATGACTTTCCTGTGTATATTTTGCGTCGTGATACTTATGGAACAGAAGATAATGCTGCTGACTTCCTGAAGGAAAGATTTAATGCTACAATCAACAAACCATCAGTTCCTCTGAAGATCCAGAAGCTTCAGCTGTCTGACTCTGCTGTGTACTACTGTGCTCTGCGGCCCACAGTGACAGGAAACACCAAAACTCTGTACAAAAACCTTTGGAGCAAAGACAACAGAATACTCCACAACATCCACTAGAGGGACTCACACACTGTTAAACTTCAATGCTATGTGATGATACAGTGTGGATTCTGTGTAGTGAACTAAAGATAAAACACAGAACAGAAAATGCTTGCTGTATCATACCATAGAAACTCTGATAACAATGAGGTTTTGGGATATAGGGATAGTTTAGGGATATTATTTATGTAAACAATAACTAATCATAATTGAATGTAACAGCAAATGCTGATGTGACATTCAAAATTGCAGGTTAACTATCATATTGAGCTCAGTGTTAGGCTGTCAGGGCCTGCAAGGCCTTCTCTGCTGGCCTAAGAAATATCTGATCACAGACTGATAGTAAATTATAAAAATATATAAATAATTACATTTTGTCCATGAATACTTATATAATAATTATATATTTTTTATAATTATTATTAAATAATTCCAAATGGTCTGTCTGCTTCCTTTCATAGCTTTTCCTCTGGTTGAGCTGCTTCCAAACGTGTATTTTCACATTAAAGCATTTAACCAATCACATTTCAGCCATCATTTGTTGCCAGGGTCAAAGCAATTTGCCTGGAGGCCTTCACAATCAGGCCTGCGGGCCCTGTAGCATAAAATAAGTGTTGATCAAATTGTTGTAGATTTTGAGTTGGCGACACCGAGGCCCTCTAGCAGGCGTACGGTGACGTCAGCGTATTCACACCCCTTTGATTGGATAGTCAGAGAGCGTACTAGCCAGAGCTACAAACTGCATTTTGTAGTGAACTAAACGAGCAAGTATAAACGGAGAAGAAATGGATTTGGTTGCAGATATATTGTCAAAGCCATTTTCAAGATGGACTTTCCAAGAAAAGCTGGACATCGTTGAGAAAGGTCGGGCAACTCCGAAGCTAGCAAGCCTGTCACAACCGGGAAAAGGATTTGTCCGCCACTTTCAGTCCACTAACTACGAGCGGTACCCCGGACACTTATAAGCAACCGTGCTTTCCAAAACTTTTGGGGAAACCAGAGTGGATCAACAGCTGAGCGAGCAAGTGCGCAGGGAAACGGAGCTCCACAACGAAAAGGTGAAGAAAAATAGGGAAATCCTACAAAGACTGATAAACCGTGTTATTTTTTGGGGCAAGCAGGAACTTTAATTTCAGGGACACGATGAAAGCACTGGATCCACAAACAGAGGAAACTATGTGGAGCTTCTTTCTCTCATTGCTGAGAGCAACACGGATCTACATTACCACCTGTCCACTAATAAAGTGTTTAGTGGGACGTCGGGCAAAATACAAAAGGACCTGATCACTGCTATTGCTGAAGTGATGGGAGAAGAGATCAGAAGGGAAGTTAATGAAGCACCGTTTGTCTCTGTTATGGTGGATGAGACGACAG